TTTTGTTGTACAGTTGCCACTGCACGCATGATTGAAAATGTGTGTGCAGCGCCGAGTTAAAGCAACGATGAGGTGAAACATGCCCAGTGCACTGGCGCAACTGTGATACATTTTACCAGGGGGCCCGAAAACTTAAGTAACTCTAATTCCTGCAAATGCCTGCAGCGATGGTCTGTTTTAGGCCAGTGCGTTGCTGCGCAATCTTGCATGCGTGACCTCAAGGAAGAGATTACGTTAGTCTGCAGTTAGAGTATTATTTTTGGGTTCCGCGATATATATTAGACAAACGCAGAAAAGGTGCCGTTCCAAAGGAGAGTAGAGCAGAGTAGACCCTTGAAACTGTGGCTCATACCCACACAGGCGAATTCGCCAAGAACCGGTTAGTTTCTAAAGAAAAGTACGAAAGTTTGAACTTTGATTAATTAAGACGGAAGAAGTATCACTGAATGAAAATTAAGAATAGAGTATATTACAGAATACATTTGAAACAGTGAATCCGAGAATCTGAAAAAAAAACTAGTTTTGAAAAGCCGGCCTTTTAACATTAGTATTTTTGAACCTATAAAAATTACCGTAATGCATCAAGAATCTGCCCGTCACTGCGGCCAAGAGACGAATCCGTGAAAGACAGAATATTTTGTTGATTCAGATATAACCTAAAGAAAGGAAAAATCGCAGCAAAAAACTTTTGCTTAAGTTACGATACCTCTTACAGAAAATGAGACAGTGCTGTGTTGTGTCATGTAATCTGCAAGCAGAACAAATAGGGGAAGCGGCCAGACCAGCTTTTTGTAGGTGAAAATTTAGATGAACATATACATAAAAAGAAAGTCTGACAGCGTATAGTCTTGCTATTGCGACTTCAGTTGCTCGTGACGGACATATATTAGTATTCCACTCTTGGCTCGAATGCTGGAACTCTAATATGGTCGTTAATGATGGTGCGGTAAACTCATCTAACATCAGTTTTCCTTTAAATCCGACAAATATTGGATGCCGGCAAAGCTTCTATCACCCAGCCATTCAAATATTACGTAGCTAGAGCATCTGTAATTTCATTTATAATTTATTCCCTGTGTTCTTGAACCCGAAGTAACTTGATCAAATATATATGCATTGGAACTAATGATTCCGAAGCATTAAAACTGTCCGAATTCTCAATTGCAGTGAAGGATGAACATACTGAGAGCAAATCCGTCAAAATTATTGCTGAGCCTATATGCATTTTTACAGTTTACTCAGAGCTCGACTGGTGCTTAAATACTGCTATAAAGATGGGCACAATGTTTGGAAAGCGAAGAGAAAAACGACTAATACAGAGTAGGAGAGATGATCTCAATTTCCCATTTTTCTGAACCTTTTTAAGCATCCGTCGCTATGACTCTTTGTTGGCGTGCATTGCGCGTAATTGTTAATTAAGTGTTGAAAAGCATTAGTTTTTTATTGTTTGAGAAAATACCACCAAATTCATTTTAATAGAGTTCTTGCTATTACTGATCATACAGAGGTCAATCATTTTAATGTTTAATTTGTTCAGACGGCTTTGTATAACTAAAATTTGAGGCGTATGAAATGTTGGCCAATATGCTCCAAACAGAATCAGGTTGGACCATAAAAACTGTTTCCGAACGCCTGACAGTGGATTTCACAGCCTTAGAAATGACTGCTGCTAACAACTTAAACGGGGTCGCAAGTGAAGGGAGCCTAGCTTCTATATGTGAGACCTTGGTTACCACAAATTGCGGAATATCTAAGCATAATCTCGAACCTTCTCTCTCGAGGACTACAGGAAGGCGAAACTTATAAGCAGGGACTCCAGCGTATAAGATGCACCAAAATTCAAGCACTGGGATAAGATGCATGCCGTGTCACCATCCTATTCACTTTTTCCTCCTCCCAGTCTGTCCTTTGCCTTTCGTGGGGATTACTTACCCTCGCCGAGCTGCATGTTTGCGGTGCGTCATCTCTCCCTCTTTCTCCTTCTGTCCTTGTATATTGTTGTCTCCAATACTACTACTACTACTACTACTACTACTACTACTACTACTAATAATAATAATAATAATAATAATAATAATAATAATTCCACCGTGGTGGTCTAGAAGCTAAGGTATTCGTATGCTGATCCGCAGGTTGTGGTATCAAATCCCGGCGGCGGCAGCTGCAATTTTGATAAAGGCGAAAATGCTGTAGGCCCGTGTGCTCACATTTAGGTACATGTTAATGAGCCCCAGGTGGTCTAAATTTCCGGAGCCTTCCACTACGGCGTTTTGAATAATGATATGGTGGTTTTCGGACGTTAAACTCCACATATCAATCAATCAATCAACTGATAAGGCCTTCGATTTCCGTACGCTTGACTAGGCAGGCTTCAAGGAAACGCGACCATGCTGCCGAATTTTTCAAAGATTATGGCCACAGATTATTCTGTTACATCACCCATAGACGACGGTTCACCTGTGTTCAATGAGCGATAGTGCGAATTTTACAGCGAAAGCTGTTATGAGATCAAAACTCGGGTCATGCGCGGTTCCGTAGTTTTCCACCACCACCACCGCTGCCGCCGGTGTCCGTAAGCACTATCCGAAATAACAAAAAAAAACGTAGTACCAAGGACACAGAAGGGCTTGAACACAAGTCCGCTGCGTGCCAACCCAGTATTCCACCACTAAGCAACGCCTGTGTTTGGGACTTGTTCGTAAACTTGCCTTAGGCAGGCTTGAAGTTGGGAAAGGAAGTGTGTTAAATGAGCGATAAAACATTTTAAAACAGCAAAAGAACAACGAGGCGTCACACAATGCGAATAGCGTAACGAATGGTCGTCCAATGCTCCAACCCATTCAAAAGCTTGTTATTGATCACGGATTAAATGTGGCACATACCGACTTCAGGCATAGTTCCTGATCGTAGGGTGCCACTGCACGAACAATTGGCACAAAATTCCTTTCAAGTGTTTAGTGGATACAAGGCTTCTCAGAAAATTGACGAAAAATACCATAGCGAATGCTGGTCTAATACCCCGAAATTATAATTATTGATGCTTTAGTGAGTAGCAAGCAAGTGTGATTGCGGCAGTTACCCAATGAGTGTTTAGAAAAGGCTATGAAACGCCGCTCTTCTAGCATTCCCTGTGACTGTGCTGCGCCTTCCGCGCAGGCCTGGCGTTTTTTATCTAAGTGCATATGTGCACATGTGAACTCTATAGTGGTTCTCACAAAAAGACATCGGTTGAAATCCAACAGATAATGTGTCCATCTTTGTTGACAGCGCACACGAGACGACGAAGAATAATATGAAGTGCAGGACAAAGTGTGACAGGTGTTACAGTGCGCGTTTTGTGCTGAACTGATAACAATATATCATTTATTTCTAATCTGCAGGCGATTTACTACAGCGCAAAAAAACATTTTGACAATGTCTCTACGTGCATTGTATTGGAATAGATTTATCTATGGCTGTCATTTTGTGTTCTGTAGCCTCTATTTTTGGGTTTCCCAATACGAAGATATGCGTGGCTGTCAGGAACCATAATATTGAAACTAATAAATTGGCTAACTATCAGTATTATTATCCTAACACGTCTACAACACTATATACGTATAAAAATAGGTATATTTTGTTATTTTAATAGCTCAACTTTAAAAATAAAATTTCTTATTAGATATATGCAATAGATCAAGCACCATAACTTCCTATGTAACCTGTAATATTTTATTATATAACCTCTATTATTCTGAAACTTCATACTCTTTTACGAAATCATTGAATTCTTGGTCAATATCCCTCGAGTGGGTATGCACTGCAATAAATAGGTAAACAAAAAGAAGCAAAAGGTGCACTAGAGTAAGTAGACTTTGAGATCAGTACGTTTCTTTATCTTTGGTCCTGCTCTCGTGTGCTGCTGTATCAACCAATATGAATGTTTATCAACTCGTTGAAGCTTACAATGTTACGCAAAACAATGCTTCTCAAGCAACATGTTATCCTTGTTAAAGCAGCCGTACAAATGTTGAATAATTCATCAAATGAATAAAACGGCACATCACAAAGCGATCAATCGAGTAATTGCTAAATCAAATGATGAGGAACAATTATTCGGTTGAATCTTTTTACCAGCCTTAGTTAGAACCCGCATTTTGCTAAATATCCATTTCAGTTTTCCTTCGAACTTTTACTCCCGCGCGTTGCGCCCATTATGTTTATACAGCATGTGTTACTGGCCGTGTGGCGGCCGGCTGAGTCATTTTTGAGACAGCGACACACATGGAAAATAATCAAAATTGGAAGAAATCGTGAGGGGAGGGGGGAACCAGCATCGAATATATCTCACTAAAGCTGGCTTCTAGTTATTGCTTCCAAATTACCTCATGTTAAACACAGTCGTGCACATCAGCGCCCAACATCGACGCCTCGTCGAGTGTGAAGAACCGATTACATTCATTGAGATTACAAAATATCTTCACAGAATCTCCTACTAACTTTTCGATACGCGTCGTAAAATATACATTCATCCTATTAGCGGCAATTGTCGACTTAATCATTTAACACCTCCTGCACCGGCACGCAGGTGTAAGGCTTCTTCTACATCCCAAACACTGAGAGATACAGCTGTTGGTGTTCCGGCCCAACCAAAACGAAGAGTGAGAACTCGCGCTTTCGTTTTTTTTTCAGCTATATCAGTGATGCGAACTTTTCTCACTTTGTGTGCACACTGCTTCCCTATGACATGCCAGCCACCGGCCATAGGGTCGGCGTTATTTGGGGGGAAAAAAAGGCGAGCCGATGAAAAGGCGGGGGAGCTCGTTGAACAGAGAGTTTGCGTCGGTGGCTACGTCACGGGCGGCGCGCAGCGTCGATGTGCGGGGCGCGCGCGAACGCTCGGGGCCCCGCAATCGACGTCGCGGGCCGCACACACGCGGTTGTGCCTCCGCCAACTCCGGGCGCTCGCTCCTCCCGCCTCTGGTTTCCCTCCCGCTACTGCCGCTGCTGCTGCCGCGAGCATGGACCACGAGTCCGCCAACGGGACGGTTGCTGGTAACGGCACTCTGGGTTTGGCGCCACCTCTCAATACCACGTCCGACGAGGACGAGCTGTACCAGGTGCCCGTCGAGATTATTGTGCTGCTGTCCTTTTGCTACGGGCTCATCTCACTGGTTGCCGTTGCTGGCAACTCCATGGTGCTCTGGATCGTGGCCACGTCACGGCGCATGCAGACTGTCACCAACTTCTTCATCGCAAACTTGGCCGTGGCCGACATCATCATCGGGCTGTTCTCCATTCCGTTCCAGTTCCAGGCGGCCCTTCTTCAGCGCTGGGTGCTGCCCGAGTTCATGTGCGCCTTCTGCCCCTTCGTACAGGTGCTCTCGGTTAACGTGTCCATATTCACGCTGACTGCCATCGCATTGGACCGCTACCGCGCCGTGACAGCCCCGCTACGCGCCCGCTGCTGCTCAAAGTTCAACGCGAAAGTGCTCATCGGCGTTGTGTGGGCCGTGTCGACGGCGGCTGCTTTGCCGTACGCCCTCGCACTACGCGTCATTCTCGTCTACGACTCGGTGTCCGGCGAAATATCGCGGCCCTTCTGCATCAACGTGGTACTGCCGCCGTTCGCCTGGAAAGTTTACAACCACGTGCTCGTCGGTCTGCAGTACTTTCTGCCACTTTGCGTCATCTGCTACACGTACGGACGCATTGGTGGCGCGGTGCGCAATTCGCGCACGCCGGGCAACGCAGAGACTGTGCGTGACACCAACATCATACGCAACAAGCGAAAGGTGAGCAACCTATTTTTTGGCGCTCCTAAGCTACATTTTTCAATTACCTTGATCCGCACAAGTATCATATTGCCTGTTCTAAAAAATACATTTAGTTAGCTTAGGCCGTACACCAAAAAGTAAAAAAAAACTTTCTTTCAAGTACTTACTATCAAGGTTTAGCAATAGGCCCTTCATGTAGCCAAAGTTGCTTGATTGGTTGCCCATGGCATATAGCCCCATTCATATCGAATATACCCCGTCTTAGCATTCAAGACGATCACTTGCTTTATAAGCGTTGCTGCATTTTTTTGTCAACGTGGCTTTTTGGGCTAGTTCATTATATGCAATAAAAAGTGGCATTGTGCTGATAAACCAGGACGAGTTCTGTCTTCCTCGTCCATGTGTGTTAGCACTATGCCGCTTTTCGAGGCATTTTTTCGGTCTGTTTTATCTGGCGCTGTGTTTTTAGACTGGCTAATTCAATCTGGCAGACTGAATTCAAACCTTCCACTTCAGGGTGCATACTTCAAGTTAACTAAATATATATCTCTACAAAAGGCAGCAAGTTTGCGCAGAGTGCTATGACTACCTTGACGTGCCGGCTTACCACCACGAGAACGGCAAGTTGTATAAGATGTACTAACCGAAAGAAAGTAAAAAAATGGAGGTAACAATATCAACGTTTTGGTTTGAAAAACATGTCACAATTGAAAACAGAAAAAAAGAAAGGAAAAAGATGGGGGTCTTTCAGTACACTCTTATTTTTCGAGAGCCCGAAAGTGGGTTGTGAAAGTGTTCCTGCTTTGCACGAACCCTTCCACGTTTTGACATAGATTCCTTTTTCTCCTTAGACTTACCTTACAAAACTGCATGGCCAAAATAGAGAAACAAAATGTTGCATCATGTTTTATTTGCTACGCACCCTCCCCATTCGCCTTCTCTATGAAGTCTTCACGAAAAAGCAAGTCTACGCAACGAAGACTTCTGAGAAGCTATTTTCGCAACTTCTGTGCGCTAAGTTTTTATTTCGTGGTGTGGGCCGCGCAAACCGGCCGAAGGATGATAACACAAGCCGATTTTGTTCTTCGTCCGGGTCGTGCAGGTCATTTCACAAAAATTTCAATGACCAACTGGCTCAGCTTCCTGTTTCATTTAAATATTCCTAATTTTTAGTTCGAAATCTTCCACGAACAGTTGCTGATCTTGTTTGTCAACATTCTCAAGCTGAACATTCTGTAGATGTGTGTGTTCGTAAGCTTCGACAAATCATCGGCAGTGTGCAAATAAAAAAAAGTCTTGCTTACCTCGCGACACCGTAATGGAACGCACTGAATGTTTCACGCAGAATATTCTCTTTCGGTGGTATAGTCTATACGTAACCTGGAGGAACATGGCGCACAAAACGGATCAAGTCGCAGCTCTGTCACCCGTTTTACGTGCTGAAGACTGCGCCATGCTGGCGGGCGAAACCTATTTGCTGCGTGCGTGTTAGTTTTCGCTCTCGAAAGACCAATGGCATGACAAAGAATAGATGCTGCTTCCTGCCAGCTGAATAGAAGTGATTATGAAGGTTGAAGACGGAGACGGGCGTTGTGGGCACCTAAAAGAAAACTATGAAGTGATTTGGCAAAGAATATAGAAAAGGAGTTTAAGCGTAACATTGCCGTTGAATGATACGAACTTTTTTAATTCTCATCATGATGTTTAGAGGGCCAGTATTACATAAGGATTCCTTTCGCCCTATTCTATTTGTTTCCTGTAGGTAATGTATACTGCACTTCGTACCTAAAGTGCAACGCTATGGGAGCTATCGGGAGTGCTTGCACCAAATGTGTTTGCACCGAACAATTGTAGATTTGTCCCGATGTAGTTTGAATTTTTGTTCGTTCTTATGCTGAGTAATATGTTATTATGCTAAATGAACCCCCTTATCGTTGTCATTGAGTTGTTCTGGATCAATTAGCGTCTCATTGTTTTCGTACAGAAGCCGGGGCCAATTGTTGAAGCCAAATCAATAGTGACGAAGCGCAACCGGACGACGAGCGGACTTACACATTTTGCTAACCGAACTTCTTGCATAGCTTCCACAGCTTTGCACCTGGTTTATGTAGCGGAGTATAGGTGATTACAGACGTTGCCAATAAGAGATATGACCACTCAATCAGTGAGGATGGAACAATAAAAGGAAGAACGCGAACAATAGATACATAATGCGGGCCTGTGGTGGTCTTTTTTTCTCGTATACGTAGAAAACTGAATATCAGCGTATTCTATATAATGATCGGCAAGTGTGAAAACATTTTCCATTGTGTCCTATACCACTTTTCTCCTGTTGGATGCTGATGTAATGCTTAAATTTCCTTTTCGCGTGGCGCTTTATGATCGACCACATGGTGACCCTTGAATCACATTACCTGCTTACCATTATTTTTATCATTTACAGTTCCTGACAACTATTCGCAAGTGATCAATATCAGTGTTTCCCCTTTGTTTTCACACCCTCAACCCCGCTTTGTTCCGTCCTCACTGCTCAACTCGGGTTTTCTCTTTGCCACACGGATCTCTTAGAACGAAAAAAATTACAACTAGGCCACCCTGCATACCTCCGCCAACAGTAACCTTGCCAAGAGAGAAATCCTAGCAGGTTTCTGCCACAGAAATTGGGCTAACTCACTACTCGCCACTCGTAAACAAAAAAAAAAAGGCAGCATATCCACGGAGTGAATGATGGGGAGTGGGGCGAAGCATTCGTCCGTCTATTTGTTCTTGCTTCCATCCGTTCCTGCGTACATCTGTGTAACCGTCTATGCGTCCATCCACCCGTCCGTGCATGCGTCTGTTCGTGCGTCCGTCCCTGCGTTCGTCCATGCATCCACGCCTGCGTCCGTTCATGCGTCCATACATGCATCTGCCTGTGTGTCCATTCGTCCATCCATTCAGCACTCCAAGTACCACCATCTCGCATCTTTTCATCATATATTCTCCATATAGAAGCACCGCCATCCAGCGGACATTTCAAGGACTAAACGGGAGGTGGCACATGCACACTTTCTTACGGCTTGCGCTTCGGGTTTACTTCCCACCTTTAACCACCTCGAGTTCATGGTATATACTAGTTCACTGTATTCATGGCTATGCGGCCCAACGCTCGCTAAACCTTTCTAAAACCAAGGAGGTTACACTCAGCGAGTATAACGTAGCAACCCTTTCTTGTCAGATTGTGCTCAATGTACATGCCAATAGCTGCTAATGGGGATCGCAGCGTGCGCGTTACCTAAAGGCCGAATGCTCCTGTCTCTTATTCCCCCTTAGCAGCCATTAATATGTGCATTGAGCACTATCTTTTATTGTTCAACAACGCACCGGAGAAATCTCTCACCGGAACCACCTTGGAGGTCAAAATCGTAAAGACCGCTATTTCGGGTATGTGCCACTGGTGGTTACGTGCTACGAGGGACGCACAAGCCACGCCATAAGGAGCTTCGCCCCTAAAAATACTACTACAGTTGAAACTCGATGTGACAAAATGTTGATGATGTTTGCATTATTTAATTATATTGATAAATTCCTATCCTTACCACGCCGCGGTGGTGTAGTGGCTAAGGTACTCGGCTGCTGACCTGCAGGTCATGGGATCGAATCCCGGCTGCGGCGGCTGCATTCTCGATGGAGGTGAAAATGTTGTAGGCCCAGGTAATCAGATTTGGGTGCACGTTAAACAACTCCTAGTGGTCAAAATTTTTGTAGCCCTCCACTACGACGTCTCTCATAATCATATGGTAGTTTTGGGGCGTTAAACCCTACGTATCAGTCGATCAATCGTTCTCTGTTCAACAATCCCTCTTCACCCTTCAGCCTCTACTTGCCCCAGAATTTTTGTCTTGTTTGGCTGGTTACGCTAATTCTATGCTGGTTATATAAACTTCCACGTTTTCTTGATTGCTATAGACCCCGTGGTGAAGCTCTGCTCTAAGTAAATGCTTTTTTTTTGTCATCTCGACTTTCAACACTCGTAGTCATCGAGGACAATTTTCTTTTTCACACAGTATTAATACCTAAACTCAATCTTAATTTTTTTGACAATCTGCAATATGCCGAAGCAAAGTGAAATCTTTTCAGAAGAGAAAAAAAATTGACCCGTTTTTCGCTCGTCATGGTGGCAAACATCGTCACGGGCTGTTCAGTTTGGCGCAAGTTTAGGAGTTCCTTTCGAGCAGGTTTAAACGTTATTATTGTTGGTGCCTCTCGTGCGACTTCAAATGCAGTCGTGGTGTGTCCGGTGCTCGAAGACTTTCACTCTGGCCAATCACACTTGCACAACATAGTTACAAACAGTGATTATTGAAACATGTACAAAGAAGACCCATCGCTGACAAAAGTAAGAATATAAGCGAACTGGCTGCTCATGCTTCATTATCATTAAGCTCCTGTTTGGGAGCCGAAACGTCGTTTTAAGAATTCCTTTTTTTTTATTTTGGTCGGCACTATGTTTTTAACGTCAATATTATTCCCTCGCCAGGCGGAATTCCGCAAAAATCTCGACTTCGGTGTTAAACAATGCCGCGAAATATTATTGCCTGCAATATTTTCCTAAAGGAATGTAACTCATTCGAATAGAAGAATACATGGGCCTTTTGCTCGAAAACCACAATATGATTTTCAGGCACGCCACAGTGAAAGGCTCCGAAAACTTCAACCATATAACATTGCTTGTGCACGGGCACCTAGGTCTTCGCCTCTATTGAACTGAGAAAGCCGCGACCAGGATCGAACACGCGACGTTCGGCTCACCAGCCGGGACCCGCCACCACTGTCCCACTTAGGTGGGTCAACTTGACCGAGTAAAACACCTTTTTCTAGGATAAAATGAAAAATGTAATGGTGAACAGCGATTTGTTTCTACTTCGTCACGCGAGCAAGAAGTGCATGCACGCAAGGAGTGCAGAAACATCATCGGTGCCGAAGTTAACGTCCCTGTTGCCGTGCCTGTTGCCGTCCCTGTTGCCTACACCGTAGTCGTGTGTACCCTCCATTGACGATGGCGCACAGCACATGCGTGAAGAATAAACTTTTTTCAGAGACGCGAAGTCCGCTAGAATCAGGGGTGTGGCCAGAAATGTTTTTCTGTGGTTGGGGGGGGGGGGTCATTTTTGATTTCGCGGTTAGCACCACTTCATTTTTTTCTATGCCATGGCAAAAAAAAAAAACTCGGACGGGGGTGGGGGGAGGGGCTTGGTGGGCCACCCCTTGAGTACGCCTCTGTTTGGAAGGCAACAACGATCAATCATAGCAGTTTTCATTGATATATTATCAAAATATTGAACACAATTGGTTTGTTAGTGAAAAATGACGAGTACAAGCAAAACAAAAACACAATTTGTCATCCTACTCGTCTTTGTCGTGATTACATGCTGGAGAGGTGCAAGACTATGTTTCAATAGACTAAAGGGCACCGCAGGGGCAATGTTCTCCCGTCTAACGCCGAAATATTAACGTATAGATAAATAATCTCGGCAGAGGTATTCTCGGGAAATCGTCGCTGTCATCTCGTTTGTGCGAAGCAAGTGGAAATCAAAAGTTTTATTACATGTGTTAAACATTCCGTATCAATGCATGGTGCTACGAACAAAAAATGGAAGCATACAGAATAATTCCGACTGATTGGTGTTTATTTATTTCTTTATTCATTTTAAAGAGGCGGACTAACGTTTTGTATCCTTCTTCGTTCCCGACTGCTTTATTGAAATTTTGCGTATGAAATGCATAAATGCCCTTAATGGACGTTCCCGAAGAATTGGTGTTAATAATTTTTTTCCGTTCTGTACAAAAGCTTAAATTTTGTGTTTTAAAACAACTCATCTAATCATATCCCAAGCACTGCCCTGGCTGACGTTACATAATGCTATTTCGATGTCGCCACGAATTAGGACAGGAGATTTAAAGAGCTAGCTTCTGGAGTTGGCATATGTATACTTTTGTACCCTTCAGGATAGGTTCCACAGCAGTTGGCAATGGAATCCTCGGCCTCGCTAAAATAGATGTTTGTTGTTTTGCGTGTCGAATGACATCATTATATGGTACTCCGCTGTGCAGAACTTGGATTTATAGTGCAGTTTATCAGAATGGAGTCCTTGAATTTTTCCTTTGTCGAAATAGGGTCACCGTGGCCCTGAATCCAACGTTATTCTTCGAGCTGGCAGCACAAATGGTAACCGCCAAGCTAAACGGGAGAGACCACT